GAACACAAATTAAGATATTTTTGATGAAATCCAAGAGCTCTCTTACCCTCCATAGACAGCAACAAAACTGACACATTTAAGGCCCAGAATGGTAGTAAGGAAGGACATCATTTAAATAGTCACATTTAATATCAGTGGTTCAACCTTAATTTTATGAAGCTACGAGAATACTTTTTGTGCGCAAAGAAAACAAACAAAAAAAGACTTTATTCAACATTCTGTCAGTCTTCGACACGCATTCACGACAGTAGCACGACGCATGCGTTTGTATTCCTCTGCTTGCAAACAAGTCTATGCAGGGTCAGAAAGCTTGCAGATTTCATCAAAAATATCTTAATTTGAGTTCTGAAGATGAAAGGTCTTACAGGTTTGGAACAACATAAGGGTGAGTAATTAATGACAGAATTTTCATTTTGAGGGGGAACTATCCCTTTAATATAACATTAGTGGTATTGTTCAATCCAAAATAATTAAAAGATATTTTTCTCAGAATTTAGTCATTTTTAAGCTACTGAATGTATACAAAACCGCTACAGAGGTGTATTTTTACCTTTGTCTGCACATTCTTGATACACATAATGGCTTCCTTGTATTTCAGTGTGGCGTCCTCATATCGGCCCTGTTTGAAGAGCTTGTTCCCTTGACCGTGGAGCACAGGTACTGCTTTCAATCTCTCTTCATCATTCAGAGCCCAGGACTCTCTGTCATACTCACTGGGCTGCTGTACCTGCACCCATTATTGGTTATTGCAGTAAGTTTCACACACATAATTAATTTCCAGTTTGTGCCACAGCCTAAACAGATATTAAAATGATCCCCTAGCTCCACCTAGTGGTCATTTTATGTACTGCTCCTCTGAATTAAACCGCCATAGTCAGCAGTCTGCCATAGATCTACTCAAGGCCGTAATAATGTATTTCACTAATTATCATATTGCAGATACACAAATAAAAAGCCATGAAAGGTTACAGCTGGTGCATATGGAAACTATATTATTAAAGAAGACAAAGTCCTGCACACTGCTGTAGCTTGCAAAGAATAATTCAATTCAAAGTGTATTTGTAAGCACTGCAGCATTTCGATCTTTCTAAATTCCTGATGAAGGTCTTTAGGCTAAAACCTTGCAGTGATAATAAATATCAAGCCTTCTTTGCAAGCTAAAGCAGTGTGTGAGACCTGTTCTTCATGTAAAGTAAAAGTACAAGTAAAACCCATATTAAATATGAAAGTATGTTTAGGCAAAATTTGCAAATATTTTTTCAATGTGCCTGAAAGTCCAGACCTTCAGAAGTTCCATTACAAAGTAAAGAGGCTGTGGTTCTTTCTGAAGCTCATCCAGATCATCATAGCCCAGGCTGTGGTAGGCAAACATGTTGGCCATGCCGCAGGTGTGAATGTGCCAGTCCACTGGATCTTTCCCCGCTGCGATACGCCGCAGACTCTTTGCCACTATTGGATACATACCAGTGTGCTGCTCGGCCACAGAGGAAAGAACATAAAATACTTATTAGCACTAATACTTATTTCTAATCCCTAATATAAGTCATTTTTCAGGGTAAAAGTTACATTTATTGGAGTTACTGCAAATATTTCCATTTCCAACTGATATTTTAAAAGCCATGGCACTTTTCTAAAGCTTAAAAGTGTGTGTTTATGTGGCAGAATGTGTCCATGACTGTGTTTGTATTAACAATCCTGGTATTTCCCATAATGTTATAGAGACTGTTAGAGCCATAGAACTGTATCTCAGGTTCTGGAGCTGGGGTGACAGCTGTAAATGATGATTACATCATGTGGAACAGCCTCAGATTAATCCTATTTTGTAAGGATTTAAGCTTTCCATCAGGCTAATGTATGACAGTCTGGAACTCACTGTAGTATTCCACAACTTTATGCTTGTAGCGTACCGTAAAGGTCACTGACGGAAAAGTCAGTCGCCACGTCTCATCTGAACGCATTTACTGTGTAAAGGGTTATCGCTATCGGGTTATGATATCAGTTTACAATTTGGCCTTCACTCAAACTTGAGGTGTGAATAATTTTTTAAGATCATTTTCTACTGTTCAAAGTTTTGGGTTCAGGAATATTTTTTGAAAATAATGTATTTTATTCAGCAAGAATACATTAATTTGATCAAAAACTGCCTTAAGGACTTTTACAAAGTTACAAAAAAATTATGTTTCAAACAAATGCTATTCTTTTGCACATTCTATTCATCAAGGAATTCTGAAAAAAAACAATTATCACCATTTCCACAAAAATATGAAGCAGCACAACTGTTTTCAACATTGATAATAAGAGGAAATGTTTCATGAGCACCAAATCAGCATATTAGAATGATTTCTGCCGAAAAATCAGTTTTGTCATCACAGGAATAAACTAAAATATATTCAAATAGAAAATAATTTTAAATTGTAATAATATTTTACAATATTACTGCTTTTACTGTACAGCCCTGGTGAGCATGAGACTTCTTTCAAAAACGTTACAAATTTTACTGACCCCAAGCTTTTGAATGGTTAGGTAGACCTATATAATATTACATATATGAATAACTTAATTTTAGCACCATTGAGAATAGAAAATAGAATGGCTTTTAAATTGCAATTTAACTGAATTTAAGGGAGCCAGAGGATGTACAATTGAAAAAATAAATTTGAGGAAGTAGTATTAAAAATAGAATGAAATTCAAAGAAATTCATATAATTGTAACTGTAGTTTTTAACTACAAATAATAGACAATTAACATAATAATTCATAGTCAATCAAATTATATAATAATAATTATTATTATTATAGATTTTTATGTCTTTGAATTTTAATTCGATATATTCCATTTACTTTAGATTCAGTTCAATATCCAATAAGTCTGGACTATTCAACTTAATCACAATGTTTAATTCCACCTCTGTAATTTGTAGTATTGAAAATCACATTATACTTACAATGACGTCACACCAGAACTCAGCCACCTCCCCTATGTGCATGGACATGAGCAGAGTCTCCCAAACATCCAGTTTAAACATGTTCCCGATCACCATTTCCATGGGCATACCTGCTTTCTTACTGTCATCTATCACGGTGCGCTCATCATTGCAGAGCTGAGTGCGGAAATGGAACGTCACCTGTAGGGAACATGGAACGAAAGAGTTAGATATTTTGTTAGTTTGGGTTTAATCTGTTGTTAAATCCACAAAAAACCTATTACTCAGCAATAAAAATCTTTATATACCTCATAAGACCTTATAGTTTTGGTTATTCAAAGCCACACACTCCCTACAGATGACAACTTACTAAGTTTACATTAAAGAGACACATCTGTGTCAACTCTAAAATTGATTATATAATGCCATAAAAACAACCTATTACGAGTTTAATGAAAAAAGACGTGATCCCTAGATTCAGTTAGGCAAACAATTAAATGACTCACATCCTGGAACAGTTTCTACTGTTACAAATGCAATGACGCTCCTGCCATATATGCGTATAAAATATGACTGTGAAGCTGTACCTTAGTTCCTGTGATAAATTTAGGTTTCTCACTGATCCCTCCATGCAAGATGCTTTTCTTGATCCCTTCAACACCCAGCATCATGCTTTCCTCCATAATGTCTGATATATTTGTATTGGAAGTGTGTTTGTGTTTGTGTGACTGAAGAGGTGTAAAGACTGACTGGATCTGGATTAAGAAGGCTGGGATAACAGGATTAGGCCCAGCAGCCCCACCTTCTCATCCACAGAAGGGCTTTCCTCAGCATTTTCACACTACATCCACAACCAGAAGAGTCCAGAACGTTCTGGACGAAGCTGGGGTTCTTCAGCCGCCTTCTGTTCAATCCCAACATAGTGGTCTACAGGAACACTGAAAGAAAGGATATGATGTAGAGCTGGGTATGGACTCAACGACCCCATCACACACATGTGGCCGACAGCTGGATCGCAAAGAGCGTGTTGCAGCACTGCCGGTGCCGAGCTCCTGCCGAGACAAAAGTTTGGAACAATCCATCTGCATTATGCCGTTTTGTAAGACTGTCCTGGATTAGACACTAAATTACATGCAATTATGGTTTTTACAAGCCATGTCTGAACATTGTGTACCGGCCAATCACATATCTGAACCCTTATTAGAATCTGCAATATTAGTAAGCGGTGGATTCACCGGACAAAACAACCAGGATGGGACCCAACTATCAAAAGTATAAAAACACATCATGTGGTAATCACAGGACGGTTATCTGCCATTAATAAGAACTGTTCAAAAGGTTGCACATTCTGTAGCCATCTGATATATATTGGCCGTAGCTGATATTCTTAAGATGCTTTAGTACAAGTTAAGAGTTTATTGTACATTTCCTGTAACAATAACAGAATGTACTGAAGTTTGCATTCCAGAAATCACATGGTCAAGGTCAACCCGGTCTCTGTTTTTTTGAATGCTGCCATCCAAGTCTATTTAAAAACAGTATTGCCCTCTGCTGGCCACAATGTGGACTTTGCGATCTTAATTTGGCTCTTATTTAAGGACTCTCTTCAGATTCAGAATGTCACCGTCTCTGTCTGTCAGTTGCTTTTATCGAAATAAAGAATGTTTAAGTGAATGCTTTGTCATTGTATTATATTTATAGTGTATGTTTAGTTAAAAAGCAGTCATGATTGTATATAATATTCAATAAGGCTCTGTAGTTGTACAGTAGCTAAGCTAGCTTATATCATCTTGCAGAAGTAATATTGAAGGTTTCTAAACCAAATGGGCTTCCAGAAGTATGAGATAATACTGTCATTCAAAAGTTTGGATATTTTTTAATGTTTTTTTTTTTGTGTCATTTATTTGATCAGAAAAACAGTAAATATTTATAACAGTATTAATGTCAAATATTGTTGCGAGTTTTTTTTTTTTTCTCTGTGATAGCAAAGCTGAATTTGCAGCATCCATTACTCCAGTCTTCAGTGTCACATGATCCTTTAGAAATCATGAATCAAATATGCTGACTTGGTGCAGAAGAAACATTATTATTCATGTTACAACATTTGTGCTGCTTAATTTTTTTTGTGGAACCATGATACTTTTTTTCAGGATTCTGTAATGAATAGAAAGTTAAAAAGAACAGCATTTATTTGTGATATTTTTATTTTTTATTTTTTTGTAAGTGTAAGTTTTTGTAAATAAATATTTTGCTGTCACTTTTAATCAAGGTAATGCATCCTTGCTGAAAAAAAGTACAAATTTCTTTAAAAATCTTACTAACAGCAGTTTTTCAACAATCTGTGTCTGGTGCTAGACATGTCTGAGGCTCATTCTGAATGCTCTTCATAATCAACGATGAAAGTTGTAATCTTCTCCTCTCAAAAGACTTCCAAAAGTGGAATTATAAGCATGTTGCCATGGGTACAGGCCAGAATTGAACATAAAAGCATGTGGTGTTGTTTGTTTTCCCAATGTTTTCCTGAATTTCCCGATTTCAACATACTCTTCAATTTCATATAAAACAAAACTGATTAAAAATGTTAATGACAGCGCCTATATTACATAGTTTCACTGTTAATGACAAGGTTAAATCATTTAGACCTTGTGTCTGTTTCAATGGCTTCACTCTTCTCTGGTGTTTTATGATTTATGACATTTGGTGTTACCCAAATTACTTTTTGATTTACAGCCTGTGACAGAGCAGAAAATATGACATAATGTGGAAGTTTACCTCAATCAAGGCATATCACATTCATCTTGATCTTTTTTTTTGTTGTTTTTGTTTTTTTGCTAAAAAGCTTTCATCTATTTCAGGAGCAGGTTAAAATTTACATGTGAAAGTACATTTAATTAAAGAACAATTACATTTATTTTTTAAAAATTAAAACATAAAAAAATTCTCGTTGCTAAGATCAGTTGATTTCTCGAGCTCTGCATGGCTGTTTGATGAATGCTGCAGTGGAGCGGCTGCAGTGCGATGGCTGTATGTGGGTCTGATCTGTGCAGCTCTGTGATTGCTCACCTGCCACAGACGCAGAAGGACATTAATGATGCTGTGAGTGAGGTTTGGTGTCAGAGTGAGTCATGGAGACTGCGTCAGTTCACCCACGCAATGCTGCGTTGTGCGTGTGCAGCCACTTGGAGAACGGCATGTGCGCCATCAAAACGATTCTATGAACAAAACGAAAACCTGAATATTGAAAATGTATCCGCAATCCGCTCATGTAATGTGACACTCACTGCTGGGCTTAGAATTAAGCTGTGATCCTGTGTTCATAAAAATATGAGGAGGGCACCCAGGAACAGACAGGTGACTGGTCTGTCAACTCTCATCCAGCCTTGTCAAAATGTGGCATATTGTGCTGACCTGACACTACATGAAACTGTAGGAAACATCCTGTGTTAGGAGAGGAAGTGGTATCTGAGACACCATTCCCTTTCAGGGAGCCCATTTTCTGTGGCCTTTTCACACATCCTGTGCTCTGCTTTCAGCCGACAGGACACATGTGTTAGGATCTCTTTAGTCACCCACGCTTTACTGAATCAAAGGAGCCCTGAACACTCCTGCATGACAAGCTCATCATACACTCATCTGTGTGTGTGTGTGTGGTGCTCTGCTTTCAGCCGACAGGACACATGTGTTAGGATCTCTTTAGTCACCCACGCTTTACTGAATCAAAGGAGCCCTGAACACTCCTGCATGACAAGCTCATCATACACTCATCTGTGTGTGTGTGTGTGTGTGTGCGCGCGCGTGTGTGTGTGTGTGTGATTGATAGATAGATAGATAGATAGATAGATAGATAGAGCAACAGAAGGATAGATAGATAGATAGATAGATAGATAGGTAGGTAGGTAGATAGGTAGATAGATAGATAGATAGATAGATAGATAGATAGATAGGCTCCACTTTGTTTTGAGTTGATCAGAGCTGCCTGGACCTGCAAAACAGACACACCTGTAAAACCGAACACTGCGCTATTTCTCATAAATGTTCTACAGTCAGCACTATCCAAGACACTGGTGTTGCATTCAAAGTGTCTTTAAAAAAGGGTCAGTGATCTATCAGTCAGGATCACATGATTTAAAAATAAAGGTCTATATCCAAAGATGAATGTGGTGGTAGCCTAAAGCCACCAAGATTATCTTACCTAACCCTAACCCAAACCCTATGCAAAATAAGGGTGACTGGAGAGTTACTGGGATCACAAACCTGATCTGTGACTATTGCGCCCTTGAGCAATTCACTTAACCCCAGAATGTCTCTCTAATGAGTATGCCATCTGTCACTAAACAGTAACTAACTTAAAAGTCATTTTTATGCGATCAGATATACAAAAAAAACCTGATACGACAGTAATACTGTAAGATACGAACTCCTGACAGGATAATGAATTCAGAGTTGACAGTGTCATGTTGGCCTTTGGGATCCAGGGCAACGAGTGGCCCGATATCTCCCCGCTGGAGCCTCATGTACCTCCCCTCGACCTTTAGATACATACCACCGCGCATAGCAGGCAGTACAAAGGGCACATGAGCACACACTCTCACACTGAGCGCTTGCTGACACAGCCACCTTCCCACCATCATGTGGGACGAACTATTCTATAAGCTCCGTCACTCATGGAGACCAGCTGACCAGGATATTCTGGGATGGCCGTAGAATCAGATGGTCCAGCTCTCAACCCTAAATGCTCTTTAACCTCTTCGGACTTTAGAGACCTGCAGATCTATGACAGAAAGTACGGACACTCCACGGGCCAAAGCATTATCGCTAAAGAGTCTGGCCAAAACTGGTCTGCACTGGCAAAACACTGAGAGTGAATTGTGCACAGGTGTCATTTCGAATTGAGTGTTCCGTATACTAGCTGTTATTCTCTGCTAAATCTCACTCAAAAAGATACATCCAAATTTTGATCAAAAGAGGGCAAAAGCCGCACAAGTACCAAGAGTATTTGACTGACATCAAACCTGTCATAATGCTTCTTATAGCCATTGCAAGTGCAGGATTTGAGTGTCATGGTGGAATGGATGATTATAACAAATTGTTAACTCTTGAACTGCACCATCCTAAAAAATATGTTTTTGCACTGAGCTTAAAGCTCTATGCGTTCGTCTGTTTGTATACGCTAAGAGTTTACATCAAAACTGAAGTATATTTTGGGCTTAACAGACCTTTTTTGAGCATTCAAAACACTCGTACATGTGCATTTGTCTGCACACAAGTCCAAGCGGATGCAAAAATTACATGGGTGATGTGCACAGACATCAGCTAATTGTGAAAATTACGTAACGTGGACTGTCTGTGAGCAAGAGCAAAACGTGAACAAATGAAGAAGACTTTGGGCTTATTATATTTCAGTTTTTTTTAAATATTAGATTTTGCTCTTTATCTGACTTAAAACTGAACTTACAACAAATAAAAGAGTGACAGCCCAAATAGCCAATCAGATTGCTGCATTGAGAAGCTTCATTTGCCATCCGCCATTTTCTCCTTCAAGAGCTGTGTCCCAGTTTAGAAATGCATCCTTCATTTCCTGAACAATGAAGGATACAACTAATGGATCCTTCATGACCCAGACTATCGTAAGATTCATTGTGCCAATGACAACAGGATTTTAAAAAAAAAACTAAATGCAGGATTACACTTTTGGTTTCAAAACAGTCGAACATATAATAAGTCAAATGTACAAATGTAAAAAAAACAAAAAACTTTAAAACTGTTTAAATGTTGACACATCTTACTAAAATGTGATTTTATAGTTAAGTTCTACCTTCACGGACTTTGAAGGATGCAGCCTCTGAAATTGGGACACAGCTAAGATTTACTGAACTGCCGAACACATACAAACCTCCCTTTTTGGCAAATTCCTTTATGGTAAAGTGGTGTTGTTGTGGCACATGTAATTTGAATACTGGATAAACTAAGATAAACTGCATTTTAAGAATTTTTTTTTCTAAAATCATCAGGTAGTTAAGCATTGGATAGAACAATAGAATCTTTGTGATTA